TCAAATATATTAGGAACCAAGTGCCTTTGAAGAAGAGCAACAGCTAACAATATACTTCAATGAGGAATATTTCAATTTAAATAGTTACATTAATTTTTGAAAGATCTGAACAACAAAGAATATGTTATAGAGTCTGCTTTACTTGCAGAGCACCTGTTCCCCAAAGAGTTGGAAAATTTCTCATACTGCTTTAGATTTGAGAAGGAATTAATCAGTTACCTATCTATACCATTATATATGCCTATATCCTTTATACCACTATAAAGCAGAAATACTAAACTCAGTAACATCATCCAGTATCTCCAAGCAATGGGCAATACTGAAAATACACGGATCACCGTATGGGATAAATTATTCACTTTTTCCTATGAACAGTCTCTCACTGCAGCAACATCCATACAGAAGTATCCACATAGAAGACAAAATGACTTGTAAAAATGGAGCCTTTTTTTTTTTTTTTTTAAAGATTAAATTTGGTGTACTAACAGTCACTGAAAATTCGCCCCAGTATTCTGGGGAAATGAATGAGAAAATCATGCATTCTGTCTGGTGTGGAGATTATCTATATTATATACACCTCAGCCTAAGTGTGATTCAAATGTATCAAAACAACAGTGAAGATCAGAGTTTCTGCCTCAAAGGTGAAGCGAACATGTAAATATTTGAGGTCACTGATTGAGGTACAAATAGAAAATTATAGACTAGGGAATGCAATGATCTATATAGCATACGTGACAGGAGATTGGATACGCTTATTAACTTTGTAAGACTTTTTTTTTTTTAAAAAATAGCCATGATTAGGCAAGCTGATAAGACCACTTATTTTTTCTCTTCTAGCTAGAACAGCATGACCTTTAATATGATGAGCAAAAAGTAGGTTTAAACTCTGTAACAAAAGTGTAACAAGTTACTATAGAGCATAATAAAGAGCTATCGGTCTGATTTTCGGTAATGCTGACAACCTCCAGAGTTCATTTAATAACCCTCATTTTTACAAGTGATCAAACCCTGTCTTAAATTTCCTGCCTAAGAGCTTTCCCTAGCTTCTGAAGCCCTGGTTCAGTCTAGATGCCATATCATTGGATAAATTCGGCTTCAGTGAAAAACTTGACAGGAAACCTCTTACATATGGCAGATATGCAGAAAGTACAATAATTCTAAAAGAAGTCAAGAAGTATTGCTTTCTACTCTCTGTGTTATGGCACACTGCAATAGCTATTGGTCATAGCAGGCTGCGTGACTTGAGATAGTGTTTACATTAAAGGGATGCTCATGAAGTACTCAATCAGTTTTATATGTTTCTAAGGCTACCGGCAGTATCGGGACCATTTTTGCTTCTCACAGGAATTGCTTCAATTTGCATTGCAAAACCCATCAAGTTTTCAGTCAAACTTGTTAGTTTGACTGAAATAGACGTTTGGTCTATTTTTATGAAGTAGTTGACCTCAATATTTATTTATCCTCCTGAGACTTCTGCTGACTTTGAGCTGCCTTCTCATCATCTACAATCTTAATCCTAATTCTGTTCAGGGCAGAATTCCTCTTTAGCTTGTTTCAGCCTATGGAAATATATATTTTATAGACCATGATTAAAGACGTTACCCTAGGCTATCAATTTTTTGCCTTCAAACTGGGAAGTAAGGGTCTTAACCTAGGATGGGGAAAAGGAACCAGATAGGCCACTTGCCTTTCACTTTGCCTGAAGCGTAGTGTTACAATAAAGCATTTTGCTAAGCAAGCAGTAAACATGACTGTCAGAGTTTTATACAGGTTTTACTAAATGCCGATAAAAAAATGAATTAGCTAAAAGGACACCTTTGTCTGCATTTGGCTTTAGGGTTCCAAGTGCTAATGATGATGACAGATTGCAGAAACCCCTCAAGAATACTGTAATTTGGAGGCCAAGCCAGTCAGAGCGGCGAAATGCGGTGTTAGTTTTCAGAGCGTCAGTCCTGCTTGCTCGCTTGCTTTCAGTGGAGTTACTCAGTTCATGTGCTTTAATGATGAAACGGGTCTCTAGTTCAGGCCTTGCAACATAGAGTGGGTGCACTGTCATCACCCTGGAGACAACAGACCAATACCACCGTCACAGGCTTGCATTAGGCATGTGAAGGGGGGAAAAAGTGAACACAATTAAGTAGGGTAACAACAGGAAATTTTAAGTAAGCACTATCCAAACCTTTCTGCCTGTACTGCAGAGCAATTCTTTCATTCATACGCTTACTGAAAGGAACCAAAGCTGTGTAGACTGCATCCTCTCTGAGGGATTAAGCCATGATTCTGCACAGACCTCACATCTCTGAGTTGTTCTAACAGGACTTGAGTCTTTTCGTTTCTCTTTTGTGAGGGGGGGGGGAAAAAAATCATGCTGCTAAAAGCATCGGTGCTCTCTACAACACTCAATTCACACATATTAGCCACTACTTAACTTTGGCGTCTCTTTTATGTTCCAGACAGCGGCTCCAATGTACTCAGCAGGGTGATTTTCAGTAGCCCCTGCCGAGTGCTTTGCAGCACATCAAAAAGAGCTTCCTCAGCTTTTTCTCTCCAGAGTCACTTGTTTCTGTTAAATAGAAGCTGAATTTCACATGAGGATATATCAGGAAAAGAAAAAGGGGGTGGGATGGGTGTTTGTTGTGTGATTTTTTTGGTTGCTTGCTGGTTTTGTTTTTCCTTAGGAGTGGTTTACACTTCGTTTATGTAGCTGCCTATATTGAAGCATTTTGCATGGATCCATTTACTGTAACACCTACCTCTGTTCTAGAGGATTTAGAACAGAGGAAAAACATTGCGTCCACTGTGGACATCTTCCTCTACCCTGAAATCCTCAAGGGGAATAGAAGGCCTTTGGCCCATTCAAGTGAAAGAAATCTTTGACCATTGAAGGAAACGGGAGTTAGGCAGATAAATGAGAGATACAGAACTAGTTAACTTACAGCAACACAAGTACCTCCAGCATCAGTTGAAAGCTCAAGGAAGTTGATCACAATTTGGGGTTTAGGCAGAAATGCTTGTGGTAAAATGTAATTCCCAATTTAAACACAGGAGTGGACTGTGGGTGCCAATGCAACACTGAATCTATGCCAAGAAAAACTGTAATCAACAGTTTTCATTAAGAATAGAAACCCTATGTTTTGCTAAAATGAGACAAAACAACACAACACAACTGTTCCTTTTAGCAAGGAGAAGACAGCCATTACCTTAGAGTTTAATGTCTGAAGGACCTAATTCAATGCTCTTGGAACTAATTTGGGAAAAAAAACCAACAACCTCACCACAGTGAGCTTTAGAAGGCCACAGTAACTCGGGGGGATAGCAAGAGTGCACGTTTAGCATAAGGGAACAAATAGCGTATAATGAAGCTTTGACTAATTTCCCATCCTAGTTTCTTCCAATTTCTTGTATGTCGAACAGTTTTATTGCTTATAGATAGCTTAGAGTTTATGCTCCCGACAGACATCCGAATTTAACTACCATTATTAATATGAATGTCAATAATAGTTATACAGCAGTGGGAAAATACAGTTCACTCAGCATTTTGTTATGGAGGTATATTAAAATGCATACTGTAAACCTGTGACTAGTAAACTAATCAGTGAAAACTATCTAGACTGCACATGGGCCTAGCAAGGAGGATTTATGGGAGCCTCATGTTTAGAATTTTGTGGATTGTTCTAGAAATGGTCTCTCTCTTACCCAAACCCGTATTTAAAACTTAGACCATACAAACCTAATTCTGCATTTCATTAGCCAGTCCCAAAAATGTTTTTAGAAGTCACTTCTCAGAGAAAGTACTTCCTAAGTATTACTGGTAGGATGGGAAAAGAGGAGACCCCCAGTTACCTGTCTGAATGAAGCAGAACCTGTGCTGAATGGCATGAGCTACCCTTGCCTTCTCTGAAAAAGCACACTCAGCATTTCTATGGCACTTCTGACAATATTTATCACAGTTATGACTTTCTAATGCAAGGCATAACACAGATGAGGTGGGGGGTTTTGTATGGGATTGGTGCTTGGTTTGTTGGGCTTTTTTATAGCAGTTATTTTTTCCCCATTGTACAAATAAGTAATTTAAATGTGGCTGCTCTTTCCATACTTCACTGTACTAATCTGTACTAATTTACACTCCGTTCATCCAATTTGCAGATTAAGCCAATGATTCTCTACTACACAGGTCCAAGATAGTCTAGCGAAACACAGACTTTCAGACCTCTGTGCAAATTACTGTACTCCGTATATCTTGGAAGAAACTTCCCAGACACTAATGTGTACAAATTATCTGTTATCTTTATTACACAGCAGAGAGGGTGAAAGAACAACTGAAACCAAAATTAAAGGAAAAAAATATATAATTTAAGCCACCTACATGATGATTTAATTGTAATTTATATGTATAGTTAACTATGTGATAACCTCAGTGATTTAAGATTTCCTGCAACTCAACAGCCAAGATAGGGCTTTAATATGGCAGTATTAAACTGAGAATTGAACAAAGTCAATACTGAAGATTAGCAAGGTAAGATTAGAAAAGACAGTTCATTTCAGAATTCAAAGAATAAACAATTTTTTGCATTTTATCCAACATACAGGACACCCCTGGCCGAGGCGGTAGTCCTCTTTTGCCTTTTTTTGCTGTTTTGGAGGTGCAGCACAGCCACTAAGCTAGGGAACTGAAGCAAACAGGAAGGCTTTTGGCTCATGATTTAAAAGCATGGCCAGAAACACAGCTCAGTTCTAGAAACCCCATTTGCTGAAATAGTAACCAGACAATTGAGGCTATTCTAAATTACATCAGAGATTAAACCAGCCTGTGACAGAGGGAACCTTCACTCCAAAGCCAACCTAGTGCTTGTCTTGTCTCTAACTGAAACATTTTTCACAGTAGCAGTGCACTTTTGTAGATGGACGTTGGAATATTCTCTGTATTATCACACAGTAACAACGCAACAAGTTCACAACGTTTAATCCAAACACTTCTCTTTTTTTCCCCATCTTTAAAGGGAGGTCCAATCCAGAACCGAAAATCCAAGCGTTGCCTGGAATTGCAGGAAAACAATGAAAATGAATTTGGATTTCAACTCGTCCTTCAGAAATGCACTGGACAACGTTGGTCTATAACAAATGTCCTGAAAAGCTTGTCATCATAGCAGACTAAATTTTTTTACCCATTTATTTTGCTACTGTGTAGCAAATATTGCATTGTTGCCTGCTGTACTGTATTCCTCTCACCCTTCCACCCGCCCTGGTTCCTTCTCTCCTCTTTTTTGTCCTTTTGATTTTATTTTGTGAGTGTGTGGAAATTGGGTTTGTGGGCTGAAAATAAGACATTTTTATTTCACAATGATGTTTTCATGGCATTTATAGAGACGTTGAATGACAGGTGATGGGTAGGCTATCCTAAAATATTTTACAACTGTAAATAGGAAAAAAATGGAGAATATTTATAACTCAAACTTTTATTGAATAAAAAAGTCCAAATGCTATTACTGTCTAGCTGTCTCCATGGAAATCGGGTTGGAAGTTAAAGTGGCGGTTTCATTGTTTTCATTTTCATTAACCCAAGTGTGATCTTAGCAAGTGACTGCTGAGAATCGGTATTCTCTAGGCTTGTGGTAAAGACTCCTACCTGCACATCAGTAGCTACAACAAGGGAGGATTCTTCTCTTTTCTCCCTCTAGGGAGACCTGTCTAGAGCACTGCAGCTACTAGGGTGCAAATATGGCAGAGGGGGTATCGAGGTGTATAATGCATACCCAAATACTTCTCCTTACCAGTACTACTAAATAAAACCACAGCGAGAACCCCAGGGTTTTAGTGAGGCAGGGAAGAGAATTAATGAAAAAGAAGGAAAAAAGCTACAAGAGAAAAGCAGCAGCTGCTGGAAGGAAAATACAAAAAAAAAAAAACCACCTGACATTTCTCAATGGGTTGGGCTCCGTTTCAATGACTGCACTTCCCCTTCCAATTGTTTGTAGTTCTTAGAATGTCTTTTTTTTAAAAAAAAAAAAAAACAACAAACAAACCCACACTATTCCCTGGCTACCACAGACTTGGATAAAAATGGCTCCATCCAAGAGCAGCAGTAAAAAGCATGAATTCACTCTGCCTTTCTCCCTGCCTTTAAGGGGGTGTGAACACAACACCGTATCACTTCATCTCAGCTAAGACTGGGATGAGGAGCAGAAGAAACAATCTGATGAGATAAACCAGAACACTAGGAGTACTGGCCTCTTTATTTCCAGCTGCTTTTATCTGTATGTAAATTCCCTCTCTTTTATTACTCTATTTGTTGTTTTTATTCTGTTGTTTATTACCTTACATAACAGTCATAACTTCTTTTGGAGCTGGTTATTTGCCAAACTGTCTTTTACAGACTGGCTTCACATTCAGGACCAGCTAACAGTATTGTTTCTTATGACTGTTTAATAAGTCATGTGGCACGTTAATTATATGTGTTCAACCTTCTGCTATATATAGTTACCATACATCTGCTTCTCAGAGAAGAAAACGCTGAGCCAGTAACAGGGAAACAGTAACAGCCAATAAAGACAGGTTTAACACCTGCACTTTGATCAACTTCAGCGGTCCCTCAGGCCTGTCTGAGTGAAAACGCCCATTAAAATTAGAACCCTGAAAGAACATCAATAACCTGAGTGTCAGGGTACCACAGCTGGACAAGATAAAGCAGCTTTAATTTCACCCTGTAGAGAAACCAGGTTGCCACACAGACGAGCCAAGGCTCCTGCGCACCGAAGCACATGCAGCATCCCGATGGGAGAGGGCTCAGTACACAGCATGCAGAGCCATTTTGAGCATTCCCAAGTTCCGCCAGTGACTAACTGGACTTATTTTTCACAGGCATTCCAGATGAATGAGGAGGAAACCGCATGTTCAGCCAGAGAAAAAGCCCAGAACTCATACAGAGTAGCATGAGATAAACTAAGCTTCCTTTCAGCAAAGATAGCAAGATTTCAGTTCACGCAGTTGCAGCCACAAGGGGGAAAAAAAAAAGGAGTCTGGATCAAACCAGCCACCTCAGTTTCTTACAGGCCTGCTGCACTCCCAGCCGGCACTTTCTGGGGTGGGGTGGGTTTTTTTGATGAGCACTAGAGGAAAATATCTGGCAAAGACTCGACAAAAGTGAAGGGAAGGAGCTATGCTCTGAACTGATCTATTTCATACCAAGGTGAATATTGTATGTCTAGCATTCACCCAAAGCAGACTGTAGTTATTCCTGGTTACATTGCAGCACTGTGCTGATGTTGACTGCTAAGTGAAAAACAAGCAAACCAACCACCCAACCCAAGCAGTGAAGTGAGCCATGCAGTCTCACCAAGCCACGTTTGGTGCTATTCAGCCACGCCGCCCCACCACAGAGCGGCTCTAAGGCTGCTGCTCACCCCCAACTCCCATGGGACCTGCGCTGAGGAACAGCTTTCTTCAGCTTCACTAAAACACAACAACATCACCAGGAATCCCTCAGTGGTAACCGTCGTTTACATTTGATCACACTGCAATTCTAGTAACTACAGCGGAATTACCAAAAAAAACAGGGGGGGGGGGGGGGGGGGGAGAAACAAGAAACAAACCACCATAAATCCAGACTTGAAATGTTAGTTTATAGAACAGCAATTCAGCCATAGGTAAAATAAATGCATTATAATATGCTTTTACCTTTGTCTTGTATCACGGAGGAAACGTTTTTACATGATAACTTACTGAAAAAGGGGAACAGGTTTACATCTGTGGCTAAGTCTACTAAAATGGCATAGTAGAAATTATGAATGTACAGAAGCAGCACCATTATAGTACACTTTCTGAGACCCTACGGCCTCAGAACAGATTTTCTTTTACATGTTTCTTTGTCTTGGAAGAGAGAGATAAACAGAGCAGAACAAGCATAATCAAAGGGCACGGCCATCTTTTGCTAGACATGCACTCACTTTTAGTCATGAACTGCCTCGTTCCACTTCCCTTTTAGGATACACAGGAATTACATAGATATAGCAGCAGTGCCTCAAACTGTAAAAGACAAATAATCACCACAGTGAGTGAAAAATAAAACTCATTTTCACTTTCTGGAACATTACAGAATATTATTCAATCATCAGTTGCCTCAAAAACATTCCTAAATCTGCCTTTGCAATAGTTGGGTTTTGTTTGTTTGGTTTGGTTGTTTAAATTGTTTTAAAGAGGGAAAGCTAGCCCTTAAGGGCAAGAAAGAACACTGTTCCAGAAGTCATATACCTCCTCACCCGAGTATGGTCAGAGATGAAGATGACCAGAAAGATCCAGTCAGCTCCCTCTCTCTCCCGCTGCTATAGAACCGCTCCCAATATATTTTGGTGAGGTCTTCTTGACAAGTAACAACAGTGTATCTACTAGCTGATACGGATATCCTGACAATTAAATGAAAAACAATTTAAAGCAACCCTAAGCCCCCTTCCTACTGTACTTCTTCAAATATTTATGGATAACATACTTCTTTTTCCTCTACCTCCTCAGCTATCATTGAGCCAAACTGTTCACACTAGGATATCATCTACAGTGGTTTCTCAAGGCTGTAAGAATTCCACTCTGTGTCTTCTCACAACATCTGCATGTGGGGCAAGGCACCACCAACGAGGAGAAAAGGAGCCATGCCGATGACATGAACACAACATGCAGAAAAGAACAACTATTTTTGGTTTCCTCTTTTTTGAAAAACAAAAATTTAATATCTGAGGCATTTAACCTACCAACATCAGGCCTGAGTTGTACTACCTTCTATGTCTTTGCTAAAAAGAAGTTAATCAGTCAACACCCTTCACTGATCCTTTTTTTATACACGTTGATCAAGAGGCAGTTGCAAAATGATAATTAAGCAAGGAGCTGTCACATGCCATTCTATACTGAGCAGCAGTGAATGCTTAGCTGGAAATAAAGAGAAAGGGAAACACTGAGATTTCAATGTCACACATCATGTGCATTAGAATGCACCACAATTTTGTTTATACCCTAAATTATGTATATGTGTGTGTATATATATCTACACCACCAAATATATATATATATGCATGTATATAATTTTTTACATAAAACATGAGCATGCATGTACACACTCACATACTGGGTGTTTTAGTGGGGAAAAAACCACACAAAAACCCCCACCAAAACCCGAAAACAACCCACATTGAGTACAATTCACTTTCCCTGTGCCTGATGGCGACATGATCATCATCCTGGGAGCTTGATATGGTTTTGTATATATTGTATATTGCTCTTTTTTTTTTTTAATTATTTTATTACTATTTTCATTAAAGTAGTTTAGGCTTTTTTAAAACTCCTAAGTCTCTCTCTCTCTCCCTCCTCTCCTTGGAGAGAGGTGAGGGAGAGCATCTGTTGTTCATTTCAGTGGCCAGTCCAACCCAAACCACGACAGTACCCCTCAAGCAAGACTCATGCTGAATTCCACAAATAACCCCTGTTTATACGTGTGTTCAATGTGTTCAGAACTTACATGTGCACTGTAAACCTATACAAAAAATGATCTTACCAGCCAAATTGAATGCTGAGATAGAGTTGAAAAAGTACAACACAATCACCACAAAGACAAGAATTAAAAGGTATCCTTTGGACACCAAAGCAGATTTTGTGCTCTAAGTATTTATGTTGAACATACCTAGTCAGATTTGGCAGCCATCTGGAGAGAGCTTGTTTTGTTAAGAGATAAAGAAAGATCATCATCATGCTAGAGAAGTGAATCACCTGGATTTTTACTGTTCCTCACACACTTTGCTATTGAGCACATTTTTCCTGGGTACAGATCCCACAAGACAAAAACCCCAACCCACAAAAACAGTATCAGCAGTAACTTTAAATTTCCATCAGGTATCGCTTTTCTATTCTAAAAAAGTAGAGTCCAAACTTAAACTGAATTACTTTGAAGCCACATTGGCTGGCTATATATTACATACCTAACCCTTCTGCCTGCAGCTGAATGCAATGCATGCCACCTCCATTTTTCCAATCTGTGTATATATTGCCTAGGAATCTTACTGCTACGACTTCCGTGTATTTAGTAGTCAACAAAGTTAAAGAAAAAAGCCTCTCTACTCTCAAATTTGATGGCAGAGAGACAGAAATATTCAAGATGACACTTCAGACTTAAAACAGTTCATATTTAAACCACTGTATTGTTCCATAGCGTGACTGTCTGCTTGGTCTCACAATCAATAACTGCTGTCAAGGATGGCAAATTTAAATAATTCTGCTTCTTTCAAGTGATGCTTTCAGGTATTAAATCCTTGACTGAAGTTTCCTAGGAGAGATTAAATCACGTGGAGCTTTCATCATCTGAAAAGAACATTGTGTATCATGTATAAGCTCACACAATTCAAGGTTTTCTGACATAGTTTCAGAAGCCTGTCTATTCACTTAGACTTTAGATTGTCTGCAGAAGCTATAATTTACTTTATGGAAAACATTCTTATGCCCTTTCATG